TCTCTGTGGATTGGCAGATTTAAATTCTTCAGTGACTGGACACTATTTACACAAACAATGGGGGTTGGTGATAGGGCAAAACTTTAAAAATAATATTCACTCACAACTGCAGAGCCATGTCTACTAGATTCAGACGTGTCCTAATGATGGAAGGAGGGCATTCAGTAGTTAAGTCCAGGGTAGTTCCTGGCTACCATTCATTGGGCACCCTCAACACAAGAGATTTGAACCAAATCCAATGTTCCTCAGTTCTGCTTCTTCTTACACTTAGGAGTTTTAGCCTTAAGCTCAAGGGTTCGGTTTAGGGTAAAGCCCAGTTCACTTAGGTTTCCACACTGAGTCCTTCAGGCTGGGCACCTCGAAGCCCGTCTTAGCACAAGGCCTGGGTTACCAAGGGCAGCATAGAAACTAGGTCCCAATGTTCAGGTAGGAGCTTAGTGCACCAGGCATACTTTCCCCTTGGGTTCTATATAAATATTGTCTGCACTTCCACCCCCCACACTTTTCCTACCAATAGGAATGCCATTGTCTTCTCTGGGACATACATGCCCCTTCCCATCTTGGCCTGAGTTCCAGTAAGTTTCCTTGTCGCTCTGGTAGGAGTTTCTGTGGGCTTGGGGGGACCTTAGCAAAATGTTGTATGACAGCAACTGAATGATCTCCCTCGTCTCACATCTTAAAAAGTGGACCCCAGCTGAAGTGGCTTTTAAGATGTACATCTAGAGAAGTGGTTCTCAAGCTGCATCATGTCGGACCCTGTAATACAGTCCCTCACGTTGGTGACCCCCAACCATAACACTATTTTTGTTGATACTTCATAGCTATAATTTTGCTACTGTTATGAATTGGGTGGCTCCTGTGAAAGGGTCGGTCGACCCCCAAAGGGATTGTGACCCACAGGTTGATAACCGCTGGTCTAGAGCTGTTTCACGGGCACCGGGCGGGCTCTGTCTCCGTTTAGGGTACAGGTTACATGGCCTAGGCACAGGGCTCGCCTTCCTCGTGGTTTTAAAGCTACGTGAAGGGATTTGGGGTTTGCACTAATTCTAGCCTCATCTAAAAACAATGACTTTTTATGACATGGTCCTGCTTTAAAATTTTTTTTAAATTGAGAGTTAGTACATCTATCCATTCATTCCAGAGTTCAATGACATCAAGTAGTAGTGCATACTAGCTACCACATTGTTTCAAAACATTCTTTTCCTTCCTGGACGTCTTGACATCAGCTCCCTTTTACGCGCCCCCATCCCACTCCCCCACCCCGTGTTCCAAGCATTTTATATAATGAATGTACGTCCCGTTAGAGACATTTCACTTGAAGTTCCTGAAGACTCGAAGGATGAGGAGCCTAATTTCTGAGCCTCCCTTGGAAGCTGAGTGACAGCCTGGTTTGCTGGTCTCCACAGATAAACCCTTTGATCTGCAAACACCACCTGAGCCTACCTGGAGGCAGAATGGGCTTTACTTTAGCACATCTGAAAGCTATCAGTTCAGATAAAGCTTCTCTATCAAACGCAGCAAGATTTGGGTCCAATGTCTTCTATAGGAGAATTCCACATCATCAATTCCTTTCAGAAACAAGCGACTGGGCCGTACTGCTGACCACCCTCTGCTCCTGGCTGAAACTTTATTGTACATGACCCGAGTGTATCCTTTTATTAGTAATCACATGACTTAATAAATGGGGAAAATACATACTGTCATGACATATGGCCTGAAATGGTGGTGCTCATTTAAGTGGACTCTAAAATGAAATTTTGTATAAGCTGGAACCCAGTTCTTGGTAGATGCTTAGGGTGGATCAGGTAATAATGGAGACACACTAATATGTGAAATTGAACCTTATTCGGAAGAATCCCATAAAGCCAGCAGTTGGACTTCTAGCCTTAGCACTACAAAGGCTTCTCACACATTGGCAGACCTTAATTTACACCTGGACACACCTTATAAGGCACGAAGTATCACACACACAGCAATACTGTAAATTAGCTGCCTTTATTAGATGCAAACACATCACGCATAAATGTGAAATGGGCAATTGTCAACTAAGTGGCACCAACTGAATACTGAAAGCTTTGTACATTTAAAACATTTGAAGGAAAGTATACATGTTAGCAAGAACACAACTCTGAGCAGCTTGCTACTCTAAGAACGTAAGCAATTAAAAGAAGTATATAGCCCACACTGGCTTCAAGTAGGCATAGATAGCATTAGGCTTGAAAACTTGTTCCAATTTGCACACTGACACAACGTGAACAACCTGGTGGAAATGGCTGTCTTTTATCAGAGCTTGCCTGGGCTCATCCTTTGCGGGGCGGGGGTGGGGGTGGGGGGCAGGATTTCCAAGGGGGGCCTGCAAAAGGTTGGTAGAAAATGGAACTTTTCACGCCATCTCAGATCCCTGAATGCATCCAAATGCTTCATGTTGAGATCCTAAAAACACATCACATGTGTCACAGTGATTTGCCTTTCTTGGAGACTTAAACACATATAAGTTCCGAAATGTTCCCTATTAGAATTCAGTGTTTATCTGTCACCCCACGGTCCAGTCTGAGAGGTGCACACAACTGAGAACTATGCACAACCACCAAGGACCCGGCGTTTCATCTTTGGGGATCATGCGACAAACGCAGAGGCCACACTTTCTCTTTGGCAAAGTACAGAAAACAATTGAACGAAGACTTTTCTTTGCGGGCACTATTCTTTCTTATCCAAAACATGCTGCTTCAAGTCTCTAATAACAATCTTGAAATACCAAGCTTATAAACTTATTACAGTCATCCTTTAATCCTATATAAAGGTCTTAATATTATAGCAACAGTTCCCAGGGTTCCAGAGGGCTAAGCAGCTGAGTCTTCCTGTAGACTAATTAGACATCTTGTTACCACAGCTTTCTCTGGAGGCTGGCGCTCAGGCCTTCCTAGGAGTCTGCAGGATTGAGAGAGGAGAGAGAGTGACAATGGACATGTGGAGACAGAAAGCCAACACTCTCCTGTCTACAATTATGACCACCCTCTGCCACTCACTGGGACCACTGAGTCCCGATCACAGAGGCGTTATGTAATGCATGACGTTACTCCCCACACCGATGGGGTTAGGATCAGGCCAAGTGCACAAATGCACAGGTAGCTTTTCTACAAACTGATCGGGCCAACTCCAAAGCCCAAAGGAAGCTCATTAGGTTCAGGGTTTTCCTTCCGGCCATGCCCCTCCCCCTCCAATCAGCTCATTAAACTATGGTGACATCGGGAACAGAAGCAGATGCTCAGGTGCCACCGAGACAGTTTTGAGAGGAGACAGGCTCAGTACAGCATCATGGGATGACTGCCTCGCCCTGAGTGATTTGCAGGCCCTGGTTGGCTGTCTCTCTTCAGTGGTGTGTGCCTTTCCAGGCCTGCCCTCTCAGCAGCGGGTGCGGTGCGGCTTCACAGGTGTGTGGTGTGCTTCCAGCAGCATCCACTACACCACACCCTACTGCCACCCAATGGTTCCTCCACGCGTGATGATTTGCTACTTGTGTTTATAGGGTCCACCACTCCAACACCCTGCCCCACAGACGCTCTCATCTCCCTGACCCAATCGAGGGAAACACTGTATGAAGCCATGCCCTGAACCGGGAAACCCTCTCCTCTTGGCGTCTGTGTGCTCCAAACCCTTCATCAAGGCCCTATGCCCACCTGGCAAGCCAGGGCTGTCTAATACCATCCTGGTCCAGGGTTGGAAAACTATCAGTAGGGCCCTTCAAACTCCTCCCTGCCCCTCTACAAATAATACCAGCAGAAAAGTGACCTCATGTGGGGCATAATTCCTCTAAGACCCATCTGCAGGTTAGTCAATTATCTTGCCAGCTGTCCAACGCCTGCAAGCAGACGTTTGTTGTACTTGTTATCTCTTCTAGTGGTTCTCCACATGAAGGCCCACCCACCATGCTGCTAAAAAAATGTAACAAGGATTTTACATTTGTTCCTGGTAATTTTAAACGGCAGCAAACTCTGATATGCCCTCTTCAGGAGAGGAGTTGCGATCTCTTCTTCTGAGTGTGGGCCGCACACAGTGACTCACTTCTCGTGAACAGAACGGCAGAGAAGAAGGAGACTGCTGAGGGCGGCTCACACAGGCCTGGCAGCGTCTACCTGCTGTTAGGTGTCGCCTACTCTGGGGGAGGCCAGCTGCCACAATGCAAACACTCAGAGGACACTTGAAGAGGCCCGTGTGGCGAGGAACAGAGTCCACTGCAGCTCTGGAAGGGAAGCATCTCTGAGGCAGGCCCTCCGCCTTACCTGCAGGTGACCACAGGCCAGGGCAAAGGCCACTCAGCCGAGGCGCTCCTGACCCTCCACAGGGACTGTTTCATATGGGTGTGCTACTGAAGCCGCAGCTTCAGGGCAGTTGGTTTTACATGAATAGTTAACAAATACAGTGGTTTAAAATATATTCTTAAAATAAGTACAATCAGTAGCTTAAAAATAAAATAAAATCAGTAGTTTAAAGTAAATAATAAATATTAAGATAAATTAAATATATTTAATATATTAAAAGATATTAAAATAATGAATATAAATAAAAATAAAATAAAAATAAAAGCAGTAGCTTAAAAACATTCAGTAATATTTAGAGGAGAATACCATCAGCCTACCTTCTAATGCTCATGTTCCTAACTAAATGGATGCAGGATTTCTCAAAGCAGATGATGTCAGCTCCACAATGGTGTTCACAGACAAGCCGCTCAGAGAGCCTTTGCGACTCAGCCTCACCTCCTGAAGGGCCGCAACAATGTGGTCTCTGTGCGGAAGAAAGATACACAGATAGTCCCACGTCCCCTCGGAGGCAACACGCTCCCGACCATGCTGACCACTGAGCTATTCTTACCCAAGAGCTTAGAGGCCGTAAAGGGACCCTTAGTCCTGCTGACTCCACTTACTTGCTGACCTCGGGGTGCAACTCAGCCAGTCTCCTCATGATCTTGGTAAAGCTGCGCAGGTTCAGCGAATGTGGCGGTATGAAGCGAGTGGGCACATCAGGTAAGGACATGGGCAATTCCATCTCTTTACAATTCTTCTTGACACCCTCAATAAACAGTTTAAAGATTTTACTAAAATCAGTACATGATGATCATTACCTAGAGATGATCTAGCTCATTTAGTTGAAACTGTTATTTTAAGATTGTAAGTGGCAAAATCAGACTCTCTAAGAAATGTTGGTTGCAACGATTTATACCAAGTTGATTTACTTGGACTGCTTACGGACCCCTGGACTAAGTGCCCTTTTTAGTAGCTGGGGGCTGTGTCTGAGGCCACGTCAGGCATCATCCTTGGCCAGGTGCCTGACCTAACACTGAGGATGACGTCCTTCTTTTTCTCATATTCTCTTCTTCCAAATTCCCTCCACAGGTAGCACATAACTAGTGCTACTCAAGATGCAAAGAAGTCAACTCATTACACAGCGTATCTTCAGTTTGAAGCATTAAGGTTTAATTCTTTCACCTACCGCACAGCAAGACCTAGCTAAATGGTAGTTATAAACATTCTACATCAAAGTCACCAAATGTACAGCGAGCAGACTGTGTGCCCAGAACTCTTCCACATGCCATGGAGGCTAACTCAAAAGCCCACAGTCACTGAGTCAATTCTGACGCACAGCAACTTTTGTAGGGTATCGAAGGCTTACGTTTCTATTGGAGCCACCAGCCTCATCTTTCTCCAGAGCAATCGCTAGTAGTTTTGAACTGCTAGCCTTGGGGCTAGCAGTCCGACACTTAACCAATAGTGCCAGCAGGCCACTTAAGTCATATAGACTGTTGTGCCCCTCCAGGGACAGATCTTAGAATTCAGGAGACACAACAAAAGTGAGACACTAATTAATCAGGCTTCAGACTCCATGAAACCACTGCCAGTCCCTAGCAGTTCCATGAAGGGCACATTCAGATGTAAAGGCTTGGTGGAGACCTGTGACGTCAGGCTATCCTAGGCATTATTCAGCAGCCCATTGCCAAACTGCCCTGCTCCCACTATCCCTCTCAACCTCCCGGAAGAGCACTGGCTAGAACAGAGTGCAGAGTTGGTGATAACTATTTGTTGAATAAATAAATGAGAAGTTTGGAGTATCATAAAGCGATAGTTGAGACCACAAAAGAGCTTTTCAGGAAAGGACCAGATTGCTGGTAAATATCATTCAAAATAACAGCTAGCACTTACTGAGTACACCAGCAGAGTGAATATATGTTGAGAATCTGAGAGAAAGAAACAAGATGACAAGAAACATCTGGAAGGTAGAGATAATGGGGGCTTTCTACCCACACACTCCTGCCTACCACCATGGTGTCTGATTTATACTGTGAGTGTACCGGTCCTCCACAGGCAGGGCTGCTAAGTGTCCAGTTCTGCTGTTCACAGGGTCACTATGAACCAACTTGATAGCACCGAACAATGTGCTTCCTTTGGCCAACTCTATGGTCCACTGTCACAGCTGGACAGACCGAGCGTCACCATCATGTGACAGCCGCACCAGATGCCCTATCTAAAGGAGGAGGAAATAGAGCTGAGTAAACTCGACCTGATTCTTCCTCATGGAACCCACGTACACAGAAATAAACGCTCCCACTCCTACACCATCATCACAGCTGTCCTGTTCAAGTCCACTGAGGCAGCCACGGCGTCAATCCGTCTGGTTGGGAGTCTCCTTCCTTTCTGTTGACCCTGTTTTACTAAGCATGATGTCCTCCAAGGCCGATCGATTCCCTCCTGAGGACATGTCCAATACAGGAGGCAAAATCTCACTATCTTTGTTTCTGTTGAGCAATCTGGCTGCACTTCTTCCAAGAAAGATTTGTTTTCTCTTCTGGCAGGCCAGGGTACAAGGGTAAGACAAAAAGCATTGCTAAACAATCGCAGGAACCTCTATAAAACTGTCAAACTCTTGGTTCTTAACATATCCCCCAGCTAGGTCTACACAATTCCCAAGTCAGTGTTTCCATCTCCCTAGTCTTTCTCCCAAGATTTCTATGCCATCTTGACTTCTAAGGAGCATTCTGGTTGTACTTTCTCCACAACAGATTTATTTTCAGCATTCTTCACAATATTATAATTCAAATATATTAATGCTTCAGTCTTCCTTATTTACTATCCATCTTTCACATGCATACGAAGCAAGTGAACATACCATGGCTTGGGTCACATGCACCTCAGTTATCAAAGCGACATCCTTGCTCTCCAACACGTCAAGAGGTCTCCTGCAGCAGACTTTCCTAAGGCAATACATTGTTTGATTTCTTGACTTGCTGTTTAATATGCATCAACCATGGATCCAAGTAAAACGAAAACCTTGACAACTTCAATCAGGATTTTTACATTCTTTTTTTTTTTTTTAACATTTTATTAGGGGCTCATACAACGATTTTTACATTCTTTACATTGAGTTGTAATCCACACTGAGGGTAGAAGTCTTGACTTTCATTTGATTTGCAAGTGCCCCGTGTCCTCTCAGCAAGCAAGGCTGTGTCATCTGTGTATGTGGGCTAACGAGTCTAATGATAATCCTGATGCCATGCTATTCTTCACGTAGTCCAACCTCTAAGGTTTTGAATCATGCGGTACCATGCCCTTATTCTGTTGGAACAGGTGCCTTTTGGTCCACATGTAAGGTCTACATGTGCAACCGAGCATTCTGGACGGCCGGTTCTCAATGCTACCCACAGCATGTTATGATCCACACTATCACATGCCTTTGTATATCAAAAAACCTACGTATCTTTCTGGCACGCCCTGCTTGCAATAGATTCATCTGATGCCCACCATTGTATCTGGGCCATGTCCTCTTCGAATCTGGGTTGAATTTTTGGCAGCCCCCCCACCCCCACCCCGTTGATGGACTATTGTTGCAATCATTTTGGACTTGTCTTCAAAAAATTCTTCTGTGTCTGATAATATGACTACTTGCTGATTTATGTTTTATTGGGTTACCTCCTGATAATGGGCATGAGTTAGCAGTCTTCCAAATTTCCTGGCATAAATGATGGAGTGCTTTTGGTGTTTTATCTGCTTGTTGAAACATTTCACTTGGTATCTGGTCAGTTCCTGGAGTCTTGCGGTTCACTAATGCCTTCAGTACCATATTACTGGCTTACTCTCTCCACACACTGTCTCAAGAGGTGTTTACATTCTGCATCTAGGTCCTTCATCAGACAGGTAAATAAGTCAGACCTTTCAGGTGACACAGCATGCTTCCACTAACTCTCAGAACAGGTACAACTTTAAGAACAGAAACAGAGCAGAGCTTGAGAATGTTCTCCAAGGATGGCAATACGTATCTTGAATTTGGAGATGGCTACACACCCATATGCATTTATCTAAACTCTTCCCAGACAAAAAAGAATGGATTTTTCTGGGCTATTGTTTGAAAAAAGGTCACCAAATGCCTTTCTGCCAGGAGTCCTGGAGACCCAGAGGAGCAAGGTGAACATCACCTCTTCACACCTCATGTTCAGAAAACCCAATGAGGCAAATGAGGATACAGTAAAATACAGGAACTGCATCTGAGTTTCAAGACCATTGTGTGATAAGGTTAACTATAAAAAAGTAATGAGATTAGAATTAGATATTTAATGAAGTATAGTCCAAGGAAAAAAAAGTGACAAAAAGTGGCAAGGCCTGGCACAGAGTCTCCTTAAAGTCCCTGAGCTATAGCACTACATCAGACAATTCAAACTCACTGCCAGGGAGTCCCGCCCCCGGGGTTTCTGAGACTATAACTCTCGGGAGTAGAAAGCCTCATCTTTCTTCTGCAACGTGGCTGGTGGTTTCATAGAGATTGAAAGACCCAGTTCTCTGCCATCGTCCCTTAACCTGAGCAGAACAAAAGCTAGTCTGGCAGATCCAAGGGCAAAGCAATGAAGCATCACTGTTCTCCGTTTTACTTCTGGGATGCCAATACTGGAGCAACCATCTAACAAGGTTCTTACAGAAACGACATGTGTGCAGGCCATCTGAAGGGCCCATCAAGAGAACTGACCTTCTGGTCAAAAGGGAAAAACTCGCTGTCTGGCTCGGAGCCCAGCTGCCTGGGCCTCGTTTTGGGCACTCGAGAAATGCAGGTGGTCGAGCTGGTTTCTTGGCTGGTGCTTTTTTCGGCAGTATTCCCACTGGACCTGCCTCCGTTTCTGGAAGGCAGAGGTGCCGTACACTCCCCAGGAGTCTTCACCAGCCGCACGCTCGCAGGCTTCCCGTGGATCTCCTCCCCGTTCATCTCTTTCACTGCTGTTTTCGCATCACTGTTTTTCTTAAAAGCCAGAGATGCGTACCTAAAATACAGAGGCAGAAAATCAGATGGCACTGTGTGAATTGGCTCACACTCAGTGTTGTAATTCCTGGCCAAAAGGTGTTTTCTTCAAAAACAAAAAAACCCCACTGCTTTTACAAATAAAAAATTTCTCACATTGAGATTGGGAGCAATATTTAGGATAATGGAATAAAAGGCACATTAAAGATGGAAAATAAAAGATGGCAAAGTTTGATTTAATGTCTTATGAATTATCACTGATAAACTTATGTTGAAGTTTTCTATCTTAGAACACTAAAACCCATCCCAAGGTTGGCTGTACAGCCTACCCCCTAGGGCAGGGGTCCTCAAACTACGGCCTGCGGGCCACATGCGGCTCACGGAGGACATTTATCCAGCCCGCCGGGTGTTTTCCCCCTTCTGATTTCCACTTCAGAATAAGATATGTGCAGTGTGCACAGGAATTTGTTCATAGGCCAGGGGCAGAAGTGAATGGTGGGGCACTGTGGGGACAGGGGAGAGGCTGGCTCTTGCTTTGGGTTCTGGGATGTAGAGTTGGGACTTGCATCCATGGTGGGTGGGCGAGTTCTCATGGATGGAATATGTTCATAGTTTGTTTTTAAACTATAGTCCTGCCCTCCAATGGGTCTGAGGGACAGTGAACTGGCCCCCTGTTTAAAAAGTTGAGGACCCTTTCCTAGGGGAATGAATCACAGAAATGTGGGTGAAGGGAGACAATGGACAATGTAAGACACGAAATAACAACAATAATATATAATTGATCAAGGATTCATGAGGGTGAGAGGGTGGGGGAGGGAGAGGGAAAAGAGGAGCTGATACAAAGGGCTCAAACAGAAAGAAAATGCTTTGGAAATGTGGATGGCAACATATGTACAAGTGTGGTTAATACAACTGAATGATGGATTGTCATGAGATTTGCAAGAGCTCCCAAATAAAATGATTAATAAATAAAAAAGAACACTAAGAATGCCCAGATCAATCATTAGAAATCATTCTAGATTTAAGAAAAATTTAAAATACTGCAGTTAATTCCATTTTGATCACCGAGCAGTGAGAAAATTCAATTGGCAAAAAAAAAAAAGAAAAAGATCCTCTTCAAGATCAAAACCGTCAGCATGAGAAATGGAGCAGAGGCTGTGGCAGGAACGGTGTGCACAAAGACCCTTATAATGAAGGGAGGGGGGCCTTACCAGAAGGCTAACGATGTGACCCCTAAAGGGCGGACTTCTTAGAACCAAATTTCCCACACACAAGAAGCTCAGCATTAAAGTCAGGGGCAGAGTGAGGGTGGGGGAGGGAAGGAAGACTAAATGAGAAAAAAGGAAAGGCAAGAAAAGACAAAATCAGAAAACAGAAATTCTAAACAAATCTAAGGACAAGTTCTTTCGACAAGGCCACAAAGCAGACAAACCACAGGAAACAAGGGCTATTGGAAAAGACTCCAGTGACCCACATGAGCAATGACAAGGAGCAACACCTAAAAGTTAAGCAAAAGAACAACATTTTCCTGGAAAATAATGTCAGTCTTCCAGACTCTCATATTGATTATCACGAAGGCTGAAGAGGAACCGATGCATTGACTGATGGCACCGGCAGACGAGTGCACGCAGCGCAGACTCTGGAAGAACAGACCGCGGTCTCGGGAGCAGCACAGCAGAGGGCTCCTGGGAAGCAAGCGTGGCGAGACTGTCTCACCAACTGTGGACCTGTTCTCAGCAGATGCGCTCGGTAAAGTAGAGGGGCAGTGAAAAAGCCGAAGACCCTTGATAAAAAGGATGGACAACAATGGCTTCAACAACTACGACAAATTGGTGCAGGACCAGGCACTGTTTAGATTTATTGTTCACAGGGTCACTATGAGTCAGAACCAACCCTGTGGTATGCCAACAATATTTCAGAGTTGCAAGGTTATTATCACAGAGGCATGTTAAGTACTAGTTCTTTTAGGCTATTAATATACACCAAAGGGGGGGGGGCAGTTAGAAACCCAAACAGAATTTTAATTGTAAAACTGAAAAGGTTGGGCAGGAGCCAAGAACCCATTGAAAAGCAGCAGCCTGAGGCAGCCTCAATGGAAGCGTAGAGACCAGTCTGAAGTCCACCTGTTTTCTAAAGATGAGACTGTGCCCAGTTTTATAAACGGTATTTTCTAAATTTCCACAGGGAATGTGCAACACTTCAAGTAAAACACAGTATAAAAGATTCAAGTGAAAGAAACAAAAGGATTAAGCAGGATACTAAAAGGATCTTTCACATTGAATTCCAGGACCACACTACTATACTATATTGAAGCGCATTCTCATACTAGTGATAGGCTGAGACCAAAAGCCTATGATCTTCATAAATCCCACTGAAGACGAAGAAAATGCAACATCTATTTTGGTAAGCTTCCATTTCAACTACCAATAGGATCCTTTCTTTGGTTAGCAGCCACTGTGTAACTCACTACCCCACCAGGCTCAGGTCCTTTCGTAACAGATGAAACAGCAACGTAAGGTTGATGTGCCTACTTGTAGCTGACACAGCTGTCTACAAACCCACTTCCACAAACCCAACCATCAACTGACAGGTCACTCAGTCAGACATCACCGTGTGTTCTGAGCCCCTCTAGGGGTCAGCTGTGCTCCTTGCAGCCCCATAGCTGGGCCACCAAGCACCCTAACTATACTCCCAGGGGCACAAGGAGCGTGGGGAACTGCTCCCTGTTATTCAGCTGGAGCCGGCTCTCCTAACAAGTACACTCAGCACTCCCGACATCAAACACTGGGCAAAGTAAGGGACACAGAACTCCCTCTTCTACCTAAACAAATGTAAGGCAGAAGGAAAGCAAGCCCAGGCAGAGAGCCCCCAAGGTCACCTAACTGCCCATGAGATTCCCCTGCACGAGGCCCTGATTTTCTCACCATAGAGCTTCCAACTCAGGGCAGATGCCCATGGATAGTCCGGTCTGAATTTAGGAAACATACCTGTAATTAGTAGATGAATCATAAATGGAAATCTCAGAAACTTGGTATTTCTGGAAAAGGGACCTCAAATCAGCCTAAAAAAAAAAGAAAGAGTTAGGTAAGAGGCAGGAAGCACAACAAAGGAGATTTGAAAAGGATGCTCTCAAAAGAACTCCTGGCATACCTCAGACACTGAGGGGCAGAGCCCACCCACGTGGATCAAATAGGCTCTCTCTCTTCGTGAGGGCTCAGCACTCTTCCTCTCTGCCGCAGAAAGAGAACATATAGCAGAGATGACCAAACTGCCACTGATTTTAAAATGGAATGTGTTCCATGAAAAGGAGGGAGGGGCAAATAATTCAGATGGGGGTAGTTGACCTTGTGGTGCTGTGGGCTAGTCATTGAACTGCTAACCAAAATGGGGGTGCCTCAACTGACCAGCTGCTCAGAGGGGGAAAGATTCTGCAGCCTACTCACATATAAAAAGATCTAGTCTTGGAAACCCTACATAGGGTCTCTGAGTTGGAACTGACTCAATGGCTGTGAGTAGTTTCAAAAAGCAGTCCTAGAGGTGCACACCCATTAGCTGCTCTATAGGAGACAGATGTGGCCATCGGCTTCCGAGATGACAGACCAGGGAACCGTTTGATGGGCCGATTCTACTCAACCCCAGAGTGGGGCTGTGTCTCAGAAATGATTTGACAGCACCAAGCAACACAATACAGGGCAACAAATAACAAGTAGGATTATATATTCCTTTCCTCAACTGTGACGAGAACCTGGTCTATACTTGGCACATTGAAGATACTCAATACATACTTGGGTGAAATCTGGTAGCTTTTGCATAATGAGCTTTGTTCATTTAATTTTTCATTATTAAAATCAGCTAGCATTTACCATGTGTGCCCTCTGCTCCAGGCTTTTAACTTGCTGATCTCGTTGGACTCCATTCCAAAGGTCAGTGTGAAACCATAATCCTAGTTTATATTTCCACACTGAGGAGTGGGAAGGGGCGGGCTATACTCCAGGAGAAAACGACAGTAAAAGAATTGGAGCCCGACAAGCCAGCCAGGGTGCAGTGTAGTACCGATGAAACACACAACTTTCCTCTAGTTCTCTAATGCTACCCCCCCCCAATATCATGACCCCAATTCTACCTTACAAATCCGGCTAGACCAGAACATGTACACGGGTACAGATAAGAGCTCAAAACACAGGGAATCCAGGACAGATAAACCCCTCAGGATGAATAATTAAGTAGGGACACCAGGAAGGTAAGGGGGAAGTGGAGGGAGAAAGGGGAACCGATCACAATAATCTATATCTAACCTGCACCCAGGGGGACGGAAAACAGAAAAGTGGTGAAGGGAGATAACAGTCAGTGTAAGACATGAAAAAATAATAATTTATAAATTATCAAGGGTTCATGAGGGAGGGGGTGAAGAGAGGTTGGGGGTAAAATGAGGACCTGATGCCAGGGGCTTGTTTTGAAAATAAATGTTTTGAGGATGATGGAAACATTTGTACAAATGTGCTTGACACAATGGATGTATATATGGTTTATGTTAAGAGCTGTACGATAAATGATAAAAAAAAGAAGAATCATAGACTTTTGCTCTGCCATCCCACCACCTCGCCTTCAGTCACAGCTTACTGTCAAGTACTGAGTCCCGTTCAGGCTGGACCTAGTACTGGTGTGGCAGTGAACGATAGACAAAATTCCAACTTCACTGAGGTGGATGGAATCAGTGTGGGAAGGCAGTCAATAAACATATCAAATCCATAAAACAGCAATAAGCTAACATAAGAGAAAAATAATACAAGGATAAAGAACTAGATGATACAATGCCATTAACTTCAATTGTTTATGTGTATTACGAACATGTGAATGAAATGAATAAATGATCAGTCACTAAAATATGAACAAAGATATTGCAGAGTACAGAAACTTCAAATGATCTTGCTATTAACTTTCTTATGCTTTTATATTTTGTTTAAAACTCTTAAAAAGTATTATTTAAAAAGCAAGGGTATGGGAAAAGTCTTAAAACTACTGCTACCACACCTGGACACCCCCTTACTGAAGGGTGTAGGGAGGAGATGAAGGGTGTAGGGAGGAGATGAGCCAGTCAGGGTGCAGGGTGGCAACGATGAAACATATAACTTTCCTCTAGTTCTTTAATGCTTTCTCTCCCCCACTATCATGAACTAAATTCTCCCTTACAAATCTGGCTAGACCAGAGGATGTACATTGGTAGAGACAGCAACTGGAAATACCGGGAATCCAGGACAGATGATTCCTTCAGGACCAGTGGTGAGAGGGGCGATGCCTGGATGGTAGAGGGAATGTGGGGTAGAAAGGGGGAACCGATTACAAGAATCTACGTATAGCCTCCTCCCTGGGGGATGGACAGCAGAGAAGAGGGCGGGGGTAGACATCAGACAGTGTAACATATGACAAAACAATAATAATTTATGAATTATGAAGGGAGGGGGGTAGGGAGGGAGGGGGAAAATGAGTAGCCGATGTTAAGGGCTAAAGTAGAAGGCAAATGTTTTGAGAATGATGAGGGCAACACATGTACATACGTGCTTGACACAATGTATGTATGTATGTATGTATGTATGTATGTATGTATGTATGTATTATGGTAAGAACTGTACGAGCCCCCAATAAAATGATTTAAAAAACAAACTACTGCTACCATGAAAATGTAAACGTCCACACAAGTCTATGGAATAAAACAAGGCAGCCAGCACAGATACCACCAGAAAGCAAGGAGAGCAGCAACAAGCTGAGAGTGCTCTCTCTCAGCCAGTGCACCCTGCAATGGACCGAATCTCTTCCATCCCGACTACCTATCTGACAAGGCTGCTGCCTCTCGGCCGGCCGACGACGCGCGCTCCCAGGAGAGTCGACAGGGGCACCGGCCCATCCTGGAGTGGAAGCGAGGAAAGGCCAGCCCTCTATTTGCTACTGAAATCTTCAAAGTTAAACTAGTAGCAGACAGTTTTCTGGAAAAATTTAACCTCCAAATGGTCAATTTTCTCATTTTTCATAATGCTACAAAAGAAACAAAATATCAAGACACCTTAGCCCTCCACATAACAAATGACAAAGACATGCACACTATTTGAACTACGCCAGATTAAGATTCTCCCATAAATTCCTATGCACCCACCTGGTGTAACCTTGGAACTCCATCTGCCTTGTTCTATTTGATTCCCTTGTATTCTGGAGACATCAACTCCTGTAAGGTTCTCTTTAGCATCAAACCAATTGTCACTTATGTCTTGATGACTTCTATGGTCTAAGAAACGGGAAACAATGGGCTGTGAGCAATACACTGTTGAACCCCACGAGAAGTTATCTGAAAACACACTGAACCTTGGGGACAACGGCTCGTGTGGTGTGTAAACCTGAAAGCAGGATGCAGACAAATGAGTGAGCCAAGCATGGAGCTTCTGAGAGGAAGTCTCAGTTTTCCTGGAATCAAGGTTCTTTTCAAATGGAGTGACCAGCTTAAATAATTAAAAAAATTTTTTTAAGTTGTACTTTTTTGAAGAAATTTTATGTTTATACAAAAATCACAGTGAAAAATCTTTAAGGTAAAAGAGCAGTGCTACAGCTCTTTATTTCATTAAAAGTGGGAATTGATGGTTTTTGGAATGATCTTTTCTTTTTCCAGAGAAGATAACACCAAAATAGAAACGCAGACTACTTGCAGAAATACAAATGAGATACTGCGATCCAGGAACAGGAACAGTGATACCAGAAGGGTAAGGGGAAGGTGGGGAGAGGTGGGAGGAAGGGGGAACGGATCAAAATGATTGACACATAACCATAACCCCCCACCCCCACCTTCCAGGGGGAAGAACAACAGAAACCATGGGAGAAGGGAGACAGTGGCCGGTGTAAGATATAATAATAATAATAATTTAAAATTTATCAAGGAGTCACGAGAGTGGTGGGGGAGGGAGAAAAGAGGAGCAGATACCAAGGGCTCATTGGAAAGTAAATGTCTAGAAAAGAATTATGGCAACATATGTACAAATACGCCTGATACAATTGATGTATGGATTGTTATGCGTTGTAAGAGGCCCCAATAAAATGATCTTAAAAACGAATACAAATTAAATACAAGAAAAGTCTACGTCATTACTTGTCATTATCATAAAGTTGTCAAGTAAACAGCATAAGATTATACTTGATTTTCCCTGACATGATCACTTAAATCAAAATGGGTGCATAAGCAAATGTGGTGAAGAAAGCTGACAGTGCCCAACTATTAAAAGATAGTGCATCTAAGGATTTAAAGTCTTGAAGTTAAACAAGAGCTCATCTAGCCGGCGAGCAACAAAGTCCACATGGAAGCACAACCAGCTTGTGTGACCATGAGGCGTCAACAGGATCAGGAATCAGAAGACCCAAACAATCTAACTGATGAGGATGAGTGGGGTTGGGAGTGGAGATGAAACACCCAATTCCTCTAGCTCTTTAATGCTTCCTTCCCTCCCTCCCCCCAAGTTCTACCTTACAAACCCAGCTAAACCAGAGCATGTACACAGGTAAGAGTTCTTGACACAAAGAATCCAGGATAGATAAACCCCCAGGAAGAGCAATGGGAGTAGTGGATACCATAAGGGTAGGGGCAAGGCTGGGGGAGAAAGGGGGAACCAATCACAAGGATTTATGCATAACTCCCCCCACCCCCGCCAAACCGGGGGACGAACAATAGAAACATAGGGAGACAGCAGCCAGTCTAAAATATGAAAACAATAATTTATAATTTATCAAGGGTTCACGAGGGGGGAGGGAGGGGGAGAAAGGAGGAGCTGATATCAAGGGCTCAAGTAGAAAGAAAATGTTTTGAAAATGATGACAACTTATGTACAAATGTGCTTGATACATACAATTGATGTGTGTATTGTTGTAAGAGCCCCAATAAAACGATTTATGAAAAAATTATACTTGATTTTCATAATCAGAATGATGCAATCAATTAAAATATTTAGTATGACTTAATCAGCATTAGGACTACTTTAACCTCATGATTTGCTGCTTGACAATTACATAAGCTACTACAGTTTTATACTGACCGGGGTCATTGAGTTTCATGTGACTAAAGTCCTCACTGATGTCCGCATAGTTCGAAGCCTCTTTCTGAGCTACTGCGTCTTGTCTCGGCTGGTGGCTCTCAGACGCTAAAGGCACCTGAGAGTTGAAGTGACAGGACATCAGCAGAGGACAATGAGCAGCCGCCACAGCGCACTGATTGCGAGGAACACTTCACTGGCATTGTTCCCCTCACACGGGGCGGGGGGGAGGTGGGGGCTGGAGAGACAGGCCCCTGTCCACCCACTTCACAGGTGAGGAGCTTGTTGCTTCTGACTACACAGTTGACGACAGTTAGGGCTTGCACCCAGATCATCTGCCCAGGGACCTGGCTTTCACACAGCTAGAAGTTGGTGAGATGGGATTTAGGCCAACGTTCTCCACGCTAACATGTGGTTCTGACATGTTAATGTCCTGCGTGCTGGCCTGTACCTCTGTATGTAGGAAGCACGAGTCAAAGCGGGTAAGGCCAGCCCCTCTGCAGGGGGGGCTCCTGCCAGAGGAGGAAACCAGGTATTTCTCACTGAGAGAGAACACCAGGGCCTCCCTGTGGGGTCCCAGCTCTCACGGGCTTTTGTCTGATTGTATTTTGTATTATTGTACTGCCTCCCACAGGTGACAGGGAGCATTAGGCCTCACCTTGAAATTGTGTTTAAAAGAACAATCACTTAAAGACAGACACAGTAACGAACACTACCAGTGATAGATGGCTCTGGCCAACTGTGAGGGCAGTACCCAAGCAGTTGGAGCTCAGGAACACCGCAGGATACACCCGATGCCCATTCCGAGCCCCGTAACACCATCTAAAACGTCTGCGTTACAGCCACAAATAAGGCCATAAAAGTAAGTTATTGCAGTATTGTGGTTCATTTGAAAATAACACCATTCTACCTAAACAAGCTGAAGGTTCTGCCAAGGCTGCCATCACAATGGCTGTGGTGCGCGCGCGCGCGTGCGCGTATGTGTAACAACCAAAAAAAAACCCCACCCTCCAGAACACATACCATCAATCTGAAAAGCTGTTTAAGCAAATTATGTAAGACGGTTTAGCAAAGAAAACCATTTCGTTTTGGATGTTACCTCTTATGGTTGATAATTCATTTTCTTGTCTTTAAAGAATATGGCTTATCTTTTTAAAAAAGGTAATCTGTTGTAGAAATTTAATTTTAATTATTTATTTTAATAGAAAGAAGCATACATCAATCAGGCATTTCACTTCTGGCTTTGGACTGCATCCGAGTTAAGACTATCACTCAAGTTTGAATAACAAAGTTACAGTGTTAGCCTGAAGTCAGAAAACGGGAGTAAACTGGACCCTCTGAGACCGTTGCTTTACCTTTGCTAGAATATTATTGTATTTCTATCTGGTCTCAAGATATAGCAATGTCGTTTACTGTTGCTATATTAAGACTGTTACCCATGCTACACCATGCTTCATGACAAAATTTCATTTATATGACATTAGAAATAAATATTTCACAATATAGAATTACATTATAGTTTTGTGATTAATCACTATGCTTTATGTTCAATTTATAACAATAAAAATACATCCTGCATATCAGATATTTACACGATTCATAACAGTAGCAAAATTACAGTTATGTAGTAGCAACGAAAATAATTTTATGGTTGGGGGCCACCATAACATGAAGAATTGTATTAAAGGGTCACAGCATTAGGAAGGTTGAGAACCACTGCTCTAAAAGTTATTTTGAAACCCTCTCACCATTTACAGAAAGGAGTAAAAACTAAAAGCATTTGTTCTCTGGTCTGCAATGACTACAAAGTTAACTTACTGGACCTATGCAGAGGAAGGGGCAGGTACTAGTTTTAACAGCTCTGTCTCAACACCATGGCATGCCAGGCTTGCCCAGGAAAGTTCAGGCTCGTACCTATTTCCAATGGCCAGTTAATAACACCACTCTTGATTGTACATGACTGAACTATTGGATGGGACTTGGATTATGTGCCAATCAAACTCTTTCAGCACAACCTGTGTCCTAGGCTGATCGGTTATGTGGTCACCCTACTGGACACCTGTTTCCGGAGGCCACCACTGGATTCCTTTCATGAGTATGCTCTCAAGCAGCAGTGCACAAAGCCAGCCAGCCAAGAGGAGAGGAGACGAGAACTTCTCAAGATGCTGCCGGCTTTCTGAATCCATACAAGGTAAGCTGGAAAGCCTGGTGAACTACATGGTAAAAACCTCACGTGAGTGCGTGCCTTTTGTAGGTCTGAAGACTCATCACCAAGCACACTTTGATTCTCCGGTTCAGAATCGGTTCCTGGAAAGCTAATGAGAAAGATCATGTTCAAGAATTTATCAATGTCCTGAATAAGGCCTCAACAAAAAACTTTAAAAGTCAACTGAAGGAAGTACATTTTACTATGTGGTGAATTCTAAATAGAAGGAAACCGCCACTTACACGAGTGTTTCTTCTTTTATCAGCTAGAGAGGGAGACAGAAGGGAAGAGAAATCATTGTTAACAATGTTTTCTGCCTGAAGGGACAACTGTATTCCTAAAACACTGATACTTACCGTGGCAGCAAAAGCAGACAAGGCAGACAGCAGCTTTGACTCTATGGACAGTGGGGGCAGCTCTTCCAGGGGTTTGCCTTTGCAGATTTTTTCTTTCAGACTCTCGTATCTAGCTTTTATATCTCCTAAGACAGACAGCAGTGCTGAACCTAATTCCTTCTTAGCAGAATGACTTGTTAAGTTCCTGTTCGAGAATTAAGTGCAAAAAATGCAATTATTTTGGTTCAAGCGGTACATTTAATACAAATACAAACGGGCTGTAAAAAGATTGTGGAAAATGGAATGAAAGAATGGAACTTTCCCACAAACACTTTTAAGTCCTCTTGTATTATACCAGACACTTTGTTCTAATGTTATCAGGATCTTGAAACTTTTTCCCTTTGAAGCGGTTAGTAAAATGAAATGACCGAGATATGCCCTTTCTTTGTGGCAGCAAAAGCTGCCCTCAACACACAAGCCCGAGAGGTGGCAACATCATGAAACCCCATGACCCCATCTACACGTGGACGAGCCGACAGAAATAGCAGGCCCATCTTTGCACTCTGTCACCCTGCCAGGGACTCAAGACTGTTGCTTTCGGAAGTCCATTACCACCCACGTCTACTTCTTAGCTTGTCTTCTCAGCAGAACATCACAGACACTTTCTAGTGCACTGAAGGCCAGTGGGACGTTTCTGTGAAGACAGAGATGGACAACAGCTCAGCACCTGTGTGCTCCTTCCTTCTCCGACATCACGAGCCTGTAGAGGTCCCAGCAGTGGTGGTGGCACATCTGGTAGTGAGCATCCAGGAGGTGCAGCTCAGCTCTGAGGGCTCTCTGCATGACCTTCTGACAGCACTGTAATGCCAAGTTCTCCATCTCCGTAGAAAGTGGAAACTCCCTTTAAAAATAAAAGGCAGGTGTTGGTAACAACCCAACCATTCTCTCTGTTGGTGACAGGCCTCTGGAAATGGTTTTTAAATGTCCTATGTTTCCCCATGATGATTAAGGATGTCAAGAGTTAAACTTAGAAGTCAAAGAAATATATATATTACACACACACACACACACACTCAGCTATACTTTGTGTAAATTCTTGGCTTTCTTTTATTAAAACAAGGTTCCAACATCCAGTTATGACTTCATGTATTCAGAACAATGGAGTTTCCCATTAAAATCAAGCTTTGGCCAAGATTTTTAAAAGCTGTGAGCACTTTAGCTGGTTCTGTTCTGTAACACAATACTCGGAGTAGAAATGGATAGACTTTCTGCTGGTCAGTAATGTTAGTCATGATGAGCTGTACCACTGTCCTAAGGAGCCCATTGACTGAGGTTCCCAGTGCTGATTTTGGCCGTCCTCCCTCCCTCCCTCACTGCCTGTAAGGTGTCCGCTGTGCTCAGGGTGTCTGCCCTTCCACAGGGTTGACACACAGGATAGGACTCGTGAGAAGACTCGTGAGTGAAGCACAAAATAAATGCCCTCAGAAAATTATAACTAACCTGGCTTTACAGAGGCCTGCTGTTCTAATACAGGAGAAATAAATTATACAATAAATGAAAGTCAAAGCCAAAACTGCAGTGAAAACAGCAATTTACTCCTTCAAATATGACATTTCCCAAAGGTGTTCTGTGTTCTACCTCAGAACCAGATAAAAGAAAAACAGAGTAACTCAATCAGCATGGATTTGGTCTGAATAAAATAAAATACCATGTCTTTTACGAAATATCAACACTAAAATCTCAACATGTTGAGGGCAGTGTATATTGTTTTAATGTTCATTTGCTTGAAGGCAAATGGCCACAACAGATATCTCTTGAAATTCCATATCTATTACAATTTATGGGAATATACCGTAAGAGAGAAAGCCAGCCTTCTTTTGAAACCCCGCCTCCAACCCCACCCCCCTCTGCATCACTGTGGATCTGCAAGCTTAATACATCTGACGTACCTCTCAGGATAGTTCTTCAAGTCTGGGATCTCAAGTGTTTTTCTTAATTCCAGAGAATCCTGAAAACGGTATTTAAAATTAAACTGGGGCGGTGACAAATAACCCACCTTATATTTGGGGTTCCAAGTGGACAAAATGTAGAACCATATTTGAGCTGAGTTCTGTGGCACAGCTGCTAGGGGAGGATGAGTTGGGGGTGAACTCACTAACCTTCCTCCTCACCTGCCAGTCTCTCAGAAAGACCCCAGGAGGGCACTACCATCCAAGGAACCAAAGCATCCCCATGCTGCCCCTTGACAAAGTTGAAGTGCACTGTGCTATGGGGGCCACTGGCTCTTACCTTGTTTAGGAAATGTCCACTAGGCTTTGCCCCATCAGCAGAGAGCACTTTTCCCGGTCCTTTCATCACAGTCAATTGTGCGTCCATACCATCTTGACCGAATGACCAATCTGTGTTACAAGCCACACTTCTTGGCTTCTCACTCTGCCACTCGCCAGGGCGTTTCTTATTCATCATTGTTATCTCTGTGTTGCTTGATATGGACACCATGGGAGGCCTTGCACTTGTTGCCCTGCTGGTTGTGAAACAAGCCCTAAAGTCGGTGCTGACATCCACCATCTGGTTGACGGTCACTGCACCACTTGCGCTGTCCATCAGTGATGCTGGACACGTTCCTTCCACGTCGTGAGAGCACATTTTAGCGGTGGCACTGCTATTGGCAGCGTCCTGGGAGGTGTCTTCTACTGACTGCTTATCTTTGGGGGTGATCCTTGGTAGAGCAGACGACAAATGGAAGGCTGGGTCAGAGGTGCTTTGTTGAACTTTACAATTCGAGTATCCAGAGGCAGAGATGATGGAGTCCCAGCAGTGCTGACATGCTCTGCAGGGCTGGAGCAGCATCTCTAGAGCAGGTTCCTGTGGTAATGCACTAGGATCTTCAAGGTGCAGATTTTTCTCAACAACCGTATTTCTACAACAATCTCCACTTTCAGTTACTTGAGACTTCCTTTTGCCAGTGTATGTTGTAGCTGCCAGGGCTTCTGGAGGGCTCAAGAAAACACACTTAGATTGAGATTCATGCTTCTGAAGAGAACAACTGGTCAGAATCATTTCATCTAGCACCGAGTGGTACCTTAAACTGGTTTCTTGTTCTGAACATTTCCCAAGCTTTCTTTCATGGTATTCTCTTAGCATCTCAGAAGTCTGGAACTTGGAGACATCACCTTGCCCATAAGCATCTATCGAATCTAGAGAGATGACAGAACTTCTTCCCAGTTCAACCTGATTGTCTTCTTGAATGCTGGCTTCATTACCTAAATGTTTCAATTCAGGAACTTCCAGATGAGGCATGGTTAATATTTTTGATTGGTCAAAAGATAAATGGTTATCTAAATATTCTTGTTCTTCTGCACTATGATACTCCTGCTGTGAGTCTTCTTCCAGATCAGTCTTTGGCTCACCTTCAGCAGTTTCTTTACTATCATTATCTGCAATCCTATAGATTTGGTCCAAGCCTCGCCTCTTATTACCAGGCTGCTCTAGGATAACAAAAGGCAACGTCTCTCCTTTCTGCATTTCAGATTTTAATTCTGAATTTACTGGAATAGGACTTTCAGTTTTTATTTTGGCATCTGAATAATGGACAGAGTATGTTTCATTCAAGAAAGCACGTTCAATGCTGTCTTCAAATTCGCTTGACTGGGAGTGAGCACGCTCTCCATTTGTGTCTTCACTCCCTACACAGGGATGCTCCAAATAATTGACGCGCTCAAGGGTGCTGAATTCCTTGGCATGAGCTCTGTCTTCTCGCCTGGAGTCTCCATCATCGTCAGGCACAGCACATCTGACTTCCTTACAGCCAGTGGAAAATAGAAACTTTCCTTTCTCTGAGTTAGATAGATCATCTGATTAAAACAGTAATGATAATTAAACACACATTACAACATTACAGATTGAGCACTAAGGATGAGCTTGGATGTGACCTGGTCCAAGCTCTCTCCCAGTGTAGACACATTTTTTATACTGCCTGCAACTCCACAGCAAACACCTCCGAGGCTAGTCAAGGTGCTTCTTAAATTCTTTCAGTGGCAAGGAGTTTTTTGTGTGCATTTGTAAGCAGGTGCAATAAAAACTTACTTCTCATAAACTTACTTCCTAAGTCTTTGAGTACTTCCTTAAGCACACATCAATATAACAAAGTTGACTCTCGGGTTGATAGAACGGGTAGGTAAATGTCTAGAAGACAGGTGCTTTGAAACAAGAGACATTTTTTGTTTTTGAAGGAAATGAAACAGGACATGGAAACTTAGCTGTGTGAAAGACTATGGGGTGGTTTCCAAGACACTGTCAGCCGGCTCTGCAGGAGTGAAAGCACCCCATGGGAATGACAGGAGGCACTGTGAAGAGGTGTCCACAGGACCGTGAAAGAGCTTTCTGATACCTGCCTTGTATTCTAAGACTCGCCAGGTGGCAGGAGTTGAGTGTTCAAGGGTGAAAGCTTGAAAGGGAGACTGGAGGCAGCGAGAGCAGGAGGACAAAAGGGGCCTGGATCAGCAAGACTGACAGGACGGAGCCATAACTGACCTCCAATGAGGTGCCATCCACTTACACACTGCTCCCAGAGAATGCCAAAGGGTGTAACATGGTACTGTATTTGGATGGGAATATTCAGAGCTAAAGAGAGGGGGATTAAACGAACAGATTTAGAAAATAAAGAGGAAAACGGGAGGAAGATAATGAGTTAATTCTAGACAAATGCCGTTGGAGGTTAATAAGACCACCCAGAT